CTCCGTACTTTTCTTCTCCTTCTTCTCCTTCTTCTTCTCCTTCTTCACTGCAGTGAATAGTATCTGGCTCAACGGCACTCTGAAACTTCAGGTGGTCGAATGCCTCCAGCTCATAAAGCGGGAAGGGGGTCGGGGATGGGGGATAAGAAGCCGGATCTGCTGAAGGAGGATTTAACGGGAATACTTTGCACACCATTTCCAGCCTTACCGAATAATCCTGCCGAAGAGGGAAGCAGAAACAACTTAAAAGTCACATTTCCCTTAATCCTAAATCCGGGTACACCTCATAGCTGGGGGATTTTTTCCTCCTCTTATTAAAAAAAAAAATTTAGTCTGATTGACTGCTCTAGCAAGCAGTTTAGTTTCAGACGCTAGAAATCTAAGAAGGGACTTAAGGGAGTTTGTTCTAATATGCGTGATGGGGTCAGTAACATGCACAATCCAATTTGATGTATGACAAGTGATGGGTTCGGCGGTTTTAGCGCGAGATCCGGGTGCCGTAATTACATTTGTAGAAAGTGGCTTTAAGGAAAAGCGAAAGGAGAGGAGAAAACACGTGCATGTCGATTTCTCTGCTAGAAAAAAAAGGCTACTCGTCGCCCGTGGTTCTTCTCTCCGTTTGTCCTGCTGTTCCAGCCTGCTTCTTCCCCATCTATGTCTTTGTGTGTGCGTGTGTGCGTTGCTGAAGGTACAAACTAACTTTATTCCGAACGCTATGTTCCTGGCACGGCTTCCTGTTAACTCTCATTCAAAACTTTCTCCCAGGAAGGAGGAAAACAACAGCCACAACATGAAATTAATTGCTCTTCTTTATTCCGTACAGAACGGGTAAAAAGAATGACACACACTTTTCAAACTCCAACACACACACACACACACACACACACACAAACTTTGACTGAAATAGTTTGGGCGGGAGAGGAAAAGTTAAATAGAACTGATTTAATAGCAAAACTTTGGGGACCGGTGGAAAGCAAAGGTTTCGGGCCAGTTTAATCTCAGTTTTTTGGGGGAAACCAAGGCGGCAGGACATGCAGGACCTTGGGAGTGCGTGCGCCGAATGTGTGTTGATTCTAGATAAAAAGAATCTTTTAAAAGAGCAGAAGATCTGTTCGGCGGTTCCTGGAATTTAAGGAAACCCGAGACTGTGGATAGCTACTCGGCAGAAGGTGCCAGGGAGTTCCACGGATCTCTTGTTCCAGTGTGCACAGAATCGGAGCCTTAAACCAACTGCTCTTGGTCCGGCATCTCCAGAGAACTCTGGTTACAATCTGGAGCAGACTTTTGTCCTCTTGTGCGGATTGTAACTGTGGGCCCTTTCTGAGACCTTGCCCAGAAGGAGAAATAGGAAGTCAAACCGCCAGTCCCCATTGATTTCAATAGTTTTGCAACAAGAAGCGATAGAGTAGACTGTGGCCCGGTTTTACAAAACGTGAGATATCTTGCCCCTGGAACTTGTCGTCAGAGGCACAAAGTGAAGGCGCGGCTAATGCTAGCCAAAGGGGCGCGGGGGGAGAGAGAGAAGTAGTGATTTTTAACAGCAGGTAGGTTGTTGTTTTCATACGCCGGTTCTAAAGGGATTCGTCACCAAACCGGAGCAGAAAGTGTTCCCCTTCCCATCCATGCAAGCGGTCGGGGTGTTCTTGGGAAGTTAAATCCCGTTGTCCAGTAAGGCTTGTTTTCCGATCCACTTCACCACGTGGACAATCGTAGCTACCAATCGTAGTTTAAACGAAATGTGTCGTATCGAAATAAGAGAAAGTCCCCACGCAAAAAAAGCAGAAACTGGAATGAAATCTAGTTGCCATCGTAATCTAAGGCCCGTTTCTTCTAAGACCGCAGGAGGAATCAAATCAATATTGTGTCTTTTTTCTGCTTGGGCTTTTACACGGGGTTGGTGCCGTTTTCCATGCTAGCCAACCTTAACTGGAGTCGCTTCACCTCCCCGATCTCCACCCATAAACATCGGCGCCCGCATTCCCGCTGGTTTTCATGGCTGCAGATGATGGCCGCAGCCTAAGCGCTTTGAGGTGGGTTAGAGGGCCTCTTTTAGACTCTCATAATTGCTACTCTCGCCTAGGCGTATATCCTTGGTTTCAGTGGGTCCACGTGAATTATTATTATTATTATTATTATTATTATTATTATTATTATTATTATTATTATTATTATTATTATTACCGACTACTTGAAAAGGGACAGACTTTAAAGCGCTTAACTTTGCACCTCACCTCGAAATGGTGGGATGAGGCGCCCTCCCCGGGCTGGAGCCAGGGTCCGATGTGTTCTTCTGGGAACATATGTACGTGGGGGGGGTGTGGGTTTGGCACCATTCGAAAACGCGGGGCGAAATGGAAGACCCGGCTTCCCTAACACACACGCAGGCACACACACACACACACGCAGGCACAGAGAGAGAGAGAGAGATCCTGGCGCGCCGCCCTTTACTTGGATGGGGCGCGGAAAGGCCTGTGTCGCTCTTTCCAGGGCTCTCTCTCTCTCTCTCCCAGCTC